ACCCAGCTGTGCGCTCCTCTTACCACCCTAGCCTGGGAATGTCCCCAGTGGAGGGATTTTACCAGCGGAGGTGACAGTCGCATCTCCTTTGGCTTGCAAACCACTCCTGGAACCAGCTTCCCATAAAAACTGAATATACATAGAACTGCTATTTCTGCCTTTCCCAGAGTTTGAGGAAACCCTGCGGGTGATACAGTGATGCATCCCCACCACTCGCTGTAGATGAGGGGGCCACAGGCCAGAGAAATTCAGAGCAAATGGGAAGAAAATCAGCACCCAAGGCTAATGCTCTCCCACTGAGCTTTCCTGAGCCCCTGCACCCCCTCCTTCTACACCCCTCCTCTTGCACCCCTTCCTTCTATACTCCTCCTGCACCCCTCACCTTGAAGCCCTCCTTCTGCACCTTGCACCCCCTTCATCCCTCCTCCTTCACCCCACCTCCTGCACCCCTCACCCACACCCCTCCCCCACCCCGCACTTTCTCTCCCCTCCCCTTCCCTCCTGCCCTGCTCCCCTGCACCCCTCCTGTACCCCACCCTGCAGCCCACTCCGGGGCCCTCTTGCCCAAGTCTGGCTCCCCCAGTTGTTTTTCTCGTTCTCAATCTCAAACTGCACTAACTTTCTTTCTACTCACTCCTCTTTCCCAACAGAAAAGCAGAAAAGATGGCACTCCATATGCTGATAGGTTGAAGAACTGTGTCTAAAAGAAAACGCATTTGAGCAGAGTCATAAGGAACTGCCTGTGAGGAAAGGGAATTTCTGGCTTAGAGGACACATGAGACGATGGGAACTACAGGGTGCAGTCAGAGGAAAGATTAGTTCCATCCATAACTTTCCAACCAGCACGGCAAATGCAATCCATCCATTTGTAAGACGGCGCGATTCAGTCATTTCAACAAAGACTCTGTTTTGTTGAGATCACGGAAAATTCTAAAGGAAGCAGGAATGTGGAATGAAAAATAATACAGATTGTGAGAAAACCAAAGAACCACAAAGGGAAAAGCTTTTAAGGAAAAGTGCGTCCTGCCACATCTCACTGAGAGATCCAGGTGGCGGAACTGTCAGAGAACACCGTCACATCCAAACGCTCGTGACACGAGAAAAAGGAGGGAGACAGCTGTGCGGATAGAAAAACTAGGAAGATCCTTTCCCTTAGACAGCCTAGAGCATAACCTAGAAGTGCACATCTCTAATTTCAATTATTTCAGAGACTCTTTTTTAATTCACAAATATCATTCGTCGCGCTTTAATTTCTACCCAACGCCGAGATACAGGTTGGAAATTGTCTCCCAACAAGGCTGCCGTAGCGTCGACAGTGAACACTTACCCCACCCCCCGTGTAATTTCCACCACATCTTACCCCGGTTTTCTCCGAGACCGGAACTTAATCTGTGAGGATAAAGGTTAAGAAGGGAGAGTGGGATACAGCTCAAGCTAATGGGCCACTAAACCTGGAATACAAATGTCACATTCCTGCATTAGAATTTAATGTTCTCTGGCACCACCTGCTCTTCTAGCTCATACTTGGCTGATATATTTAAATACGTAGCGATGGCTTATCTCACGTTATTAAGGGGAGGCTGTGTTTATAATTCACTCATGAAATGTAACTCAAGCACAGAGAGTGATGCTGTAAACACACGAAGAGCCTCGGGTCTTTGGATCATAGTAGCACCAACGACCAGGGTCTGTGTTGGCTCATTTGCTAATGGGCTCGAATTCCTCAATGTTCAAAACTTAAATTACAATCTTAAAAATAAAACTGGAGTGGGTCTAACACTACTGAAAAGGCACAAATGCCCCAACATAGTGGTACAAAGCTCTAAACGGTACAGGAATTGGCTACGACTTGGGACATCCATATGTTCTCTTACTTTGCATTCATTTAAAAAGCAGCTACCTGCCCTCCACCTGCTCCAGAGGCTGCGCAGGTGCGGGGCGTACAGAGAGAGGCTCCTGCATCCCAGAGCTTTGATCTGCCGGGGACAGAGACAACGAAAGGGCCCCGGTGACAGATGCCACTTGGGGTGGTACAGGCTTGTGTAGAAAGAGCAACAATGCAATCCAGGCATGCTAGGACTGTTGGGCAAAGTGATCTTTGAGTTGGGACAGAAAGACGGGTAAATCATCTACGTGGTGTGTTCACAGAAGAGTGGTCATTGCTGGAGAAGGATTGCACGCAAAGGTAAGAGACGGAAAAAGGGGTATTTGCGATCTGGAAGTTCCAGGAACATAGAATATATATGTGAGAGATGAATATGGGGTTTGGTAGCCAGTTCACAAAAGATTCTGTAGGGCCTGCGAGGGTTGTCAATGATTTTAAACTAGAACATTCTGGATTTTCATTTTTTTAAAGATCCACATTTTACTTTCCCATACTCAGTGCCACAGGGAACGTCACTTTCCCAGTCGTCATCCAAGCGGAGACTTTGGTTACAGATTAAGTTGCCTAAACGACGCCTCACCTACTCTTCTTGTCAACGTGGTGCCGACTTATCAGTAGGAGACGACCGTCCAGTGTGGGCGCTGAACCCAAATACTTGCACTGGAGTTGTTCTCGCTGTCAGCCCCAAATGCGCTTGTTGTCACTGCAGGGCAGCACAGCACAGGGAGCATTTCCTTTCATTTGCCCCTGCTGACATTTAAATAGCTACGGCAAGTTACACAGAACACGATGAACACATGGTCATCAGCCTGTGCGATGAACTCCAACTGAACGTTGTTTTTGCGGCAAAAAATGCTTCAGGATTAATTCACGTAACTATAGACAGAGAAGCCGTAAAAGCGTGGGGCCACCCAGATTGCGAACTTGTCATTGTTTGGGAAACTTCCAGGTATTGGGCTTCCTTCCTGTCCTCCTTCCTTCCTCGGGGTTGGAAGCCACGGTGGGGTGAGGGCGCCCGACCTGGAGCTAAGAACAGGTTTCTGTGTTTCTTTTCTAGTGAGTAACAACCATCTGCTAAATATGTGACGTATGTTTTATGTCAAAATATAAAATGGAGAAACTATGCCCTGTGTTTCTATTAGCTTCCCAGCTATATTGTTCCGAGAAGTGCCATTTATATGGATTCTACCTATATATTATGTATAGATTTATAAATATACAAATGATGTACAAATATATAAATTACATATAAACAATATATAGGTAGAATTTATGAATAGCAAATTTATATGCAAATTTTTTATGTAAAATTTTAAAAATATATATCTATTAGGTCATATGGAGTACTAATTAGAGTTACATGGAATTACAATTGATGTGGTGTGTTCATTCAACTGAAAGATGACACATGGAAGAATATTTACATTTTAACTGCGATTCCTCATATCTGTTAGTGGTCAAGGACTCGCACTTTGGGAATGAGGCTTGGATCTCCCTTCTGCGTCTTGCAAACCTCACAATGACGTGTGTCGTAACTGGGCCAGAATTAATTCACTGCCATTTGCCCTGCTGGGAAGGTTTGGTATTTCACTGCTGCTTTTCGATGCTACCAAAGGCAGTAGCAAATTTAGGTCATGTGGAAAATATTAATATTATACCTCTACCATGCTTTCTTGAATAACCGTACGGTCATGTAGAAGTTCAGTGAAAGGTCAGGTCTAAAAATCCAAATACTAGGAAGTATTCAGCAATCGTCTCTGCAGTCTTGTCCTAACCGTTGAATGGGATGTAAATATAATCTTTTTGTAGCATTTCTTATTAAAATAGTCATTAAGTCCCCAGTACCCCGCGGGTGTATAGCAAGGAGAAACCTATCTTATACTTTATAGATAAGGACGCTCACGGTTGAGTCCTCTTACTACAGGACTTCTTAACACTGCGACACTTTAACTCGCGTGCAGAGAGCGTAGCCATGCCAAGGTGTCCTCACTCACACCAACTCAGGACAATATCATCCCCCTGTTTACTGTTTGGGTGGACACTTTTTTATTATCTGCTTCATTGGCTTCATGTGCAGTAACTTCTTGTTCCATTTTGTTCAGCTCCTGAAACTAGTCCTACAATATACACTTGGAAAATAAGAGCATATTGTCTCTTCACTCAAATTCATAAAGTAAAACCGAATAAAATTCCAGCACTCCAGATTAATATTCTCATTTTCACCTACACACATACAGATCTAGCATGCTAAATATTTTAAGGAACTCAATATTTAATGAAGGAACCAGTAAGATATTTTTAAAAACTGTTTCAAAGGAGAATTCAAAGAAAATACATACATAATCAGAGACACTAAAATGAATTTGCAAATAGATTCAAAGTGGTCAATGTCCACAGAGCAATAATCAATTGCATCTCTTGCAGTAGAGTTATGTAAGATCACACCGTCAGAGGGGGAGCAGATCTATGATGAGAAATGGTACAGGTTCATCCACAACACGCTTTGATTGTCTAGTCTAGAATTACCATGCACCTTTATCACAAAATCTCTTCCAAAAATATATTATAGATAAGCATATATTAAGAGAATTTTGAAAAGAAGAACAGGAAGTTCATTTGCATTTCAATGGCCAGGAAGCATTTGCATTGTTATTCATTTTTTACAATGTGCAGAGTTGTAAAATAGCTCAAAGACAATGAAAGGCACAGACCTTTCATTTCAAATATTTGTGTTTGGCTTGCAAAGTTTACAAATGTACGTCTTTTCAGGCTCATTATATTGCGTTTTCTATGTTTGCTCACATTTTGAAATCTTCCATAATAAAAAAATGGGTTTTTAAAAATACCAATCAATAGGATATGATCAAAGATGCACCAGTCTCACAGCTCACACCCAGTCTCACTGTGTATTTTGACATAATAAGCGCACGTATCACGGCGAGTCAAGCTTTCACACGTTAAAAACATAAGTAGACTTTAAGGAAGCTGCAAACAATTGGTCCCTATTTATAAGCACTGTTCTGTCTTGATTTTATTTTTATCTAACACAGAATGGTCTATATGCCCTCTGTCAGAACGCGAGTTTTCAAACCTGTTAATTGTGTTCCAGCCATACCTTGGTACACAGCTTTAAACCCAGGTGAGCCAATGCTGTCGTCAGACTGCAGATGTAACCACATCTGGTTGCTCATGCTCACAATGAGGTCAGGAACGCTGGAGCCCGTGAGTCTGCACGGAAGAGAAACGCGGAAACTTTTACTATGGGCAGCAAATACATGGACTTTTACCTCAAAGGAGGGTCTTGCTGCTTAAGCAGACAAACCATATATATATATACATACACCTAGGAAGACCCTCCCTCAAAGAATCTATTATATAACCACTTGTAACTTATTTTAATATTTAAACACCAATATCATTGGCATTTTTATAGCAATCATTCTATTCTATGACTGCAAATTTGCATCTTATATTTTAAAAATCAAATTAGGGCAACCAACCATCTCACTTGCCTGAACTAAGGGGCATCCCCAGGTGCGGGACTTACAGTGTTAACCCAGAGATCGTCCTGGAAAACACGGGGCAGTGCACCCTGCGTGACTGGGAGACGCCCTATTGCTGTGTGACTTCATAACATCCCGCATTCACAGGGAGAGCAGCCCCACAGTGAGAAATCATACAGTTCATTCACTACATTCTTGGATTGTCTGGTCTGGAATTATCATGCGCCTTTATCACTAAATCTCTTATAAAAATATATTACAGGTAATCGGACATTAAGAGAATCTTGAAAACTAGAACAGCATGCGTGGCCGAAAGAGATTGGCAGCATTTACTGAACTCTCCTTGTGCCTTTCACACCCAGCCAGGTCACATCCAGTGGAGGTTTCAGTGAAGCGTTTGTTGTGTATTAACAAAACAGTCACATAGGGGCTGCTGCCAGCCAGGGAAAGGAAACACTAAATCCATTGACTGAACTCAACGTGCTGACAGAAATGCAAGTTGAAATAGAAAAAGTGCAAGAAAAAAAATCAATTCGACCAAAACAAATGCCCCTAATCAAATAGGAAGCTTTGCTTTCAGCAAGGCAGTTTCGGGAATGTGAACACATGATTTTCCCCATCAATCATATCATCTGTCTATCAACCTGGCATTCTCACCGCGGGCAGCACAGAGCACCTGAGTCTTTGAAGGAAGATGAACAACAGTCATTACCTGTGAAGTATCTCGTGCAACCTTACACGCAAATTGAAAAAAGGGAAGTATTTCAGTGAGTGATGTACAGTCACTAAATATGTATTTCTCTCCGAATATTTTCCTTGGTTGGCAAGATGGTTCTATTTTGTGTGGTTGTTTTGTTGCTTGTGTGTCTGAAGAGAGATTTTCTTTCTCCCCTATGCATGCATTTTATTGACCTGTAATGAACCAAAAAGTGCCCAGACCACTGATATCTGGCTCGTGGACTTTCACAGCGAACCACCACACAGACCAACACAGAGAACTGCCTGCACCCAGGCAACTTCCTGCATCCTCCCACCTTCCCAAAACACAGTTTAGTTTTATCTCTTTTTTTAAAGATTTCTATAAAAGAAACCATAATTAGTTTCATCTGTGTTTTTGAAGATTCTATACATGAAATCACATTATGTACAATATTTTGTTCAACATTATGTTGGTGAAATTGACATAATTGTTTGTAGTTGTATTTCATTTACTTCTTTATATGGAATTCACATTGTGTATAAATACAAGTAGTAGTTGGTTAGTATTTTTCTATTCTTAAAATGTGCATTGAGATCATGGTGGATACACGTGCAATAATATGAAATAATACAAAGAAATCACACGCATTCTTTACCTAGTTCCCGCCAATGGTAACATTTCGCAAAACTGTAAGGTGCTATCACGACCGAAACATTGATATTGATACAATCTATCTATCTTGTTCAAATTTCCCCGTTTTCTTGATACTCTGTGTGTGTGTGTGTGTGTGTGTGTGTGTGTGTGTGTGTGTGTGTAGCTCTATTCAATTACATCTCATATCTAGGCTCCCCAATCCACCCTCGTAGTCAATGCGGACTTGCTCCATCCCTCGAAATTCCCTGGTATTGCTAGCACTGAAAGATGATTTGCTTAAAACAAAAAAGTAACATTGTTACTCTTTGCAACTGCTTATCTGTTTGAAACAGGATTTTTTTCTTACAATAATTTGCGATTGAAAAATAAAATAGATGCTGGCTTTGATAAAATGCAGCAGGTCCTTGAATGATGTGGTTTCATTCAATGTTGTTTCCTTATAACATTGATGAGGAAAAAAAAATTTATTCTCAGTGAGGGGACTGTCTGTGTGGAGTCTGCACCTTGTCCCCATGTCTGTGTGGGTTTCCTCTGGGTCCCAGAGCTCCCTCCCGCATCCCAGAGCCACCCATTAGGTGAACTGGTGTCTACATGGTCCCGTCTGAGCAAGCGTGGGTGTGTGTGATGCACCCCACGATGGACGGTGTCCTGTCCCGGGCTGGCTCCCACCTCGGCCCTGAGCTACCAGGGCAGGCTCTGGACACCCATCACTCTGACCTGGAATAAGTACGTTGGAAAAGGAATGAATGAATGAATACAAATTGTTGTCAAATAAAAATTGTCAAGTATACTATAATCATACAATATATGCATGGCAATAAACAACATCAGTGTAGCAAAATGGCACTTATATCCCATGAATATATGCAAATAAAAAATAGATGGGGAAAACTTTTTAAAAATAAACGATGCGACAGGAAAGTGCTCAGCAAGCTGCTGCACTTGTTCTTGTTTGTTTTGCAACCACATGTGGGAGGAGGTGATCCTTAGTGTTTGCTTTGCAGACATTTGTTTCTTAATTTGACCCACCATGACCACCGTCACTCACTGATTCACCAAAAATTGGGGAAATAATTATCTTCTGTAATTTTAGTAATCGTTCTTTGATGTATGTATAGCTCACATTTATTTCAATGTTCAGCATTAGAAGTGTTTCAGTATTTATTTAGAAATTTGGTGATTCTTTTGTTACCAGAAATATGCCGTAGGGACTTAACTCTTGTTCTTGTTTTTTTTTTTAATATGTTGTTTTGCTTAAAGTTGCAATTTCCAAGGACCTCTCAATGAAGTTAAGTGAGCACTTACTATACTTCAACATTCCTCAGAACACATAATTAGTAATTGCTTTCTTTAAAATAGCTCCATTTTCTCCCAAGTTGACTCTACAGTGCAGTTTTGATTTAAACTTACATAAAATTATCCAATGAAAGTCTAAATAATTTGACCTATTTGCTGTAGTATTAAATAAAATTTTCTTTTGAAAAAAAAACCATGGTATTGTAGCTGCCTACCTACTTCCACCTCCAGGTCAGAAAGCCCTTCATATCCCAGGCATCTTCTATTGACTTTCTTCCATTCTCCAAAAGTACCACCACTGCTCAGTGTCCAGGGGTTTGGCAAACCCTGAAATCCCGGGATAGAGTGCCAGTTCTTCCTGGAGAACAGCCAAGAGTCTTTGAAGACTCTGAGGATTCTCATTAGGCTTTCCTTAACTTCCCTTGGCAACATGAGGACCTTTTTCTCTCTAGGTCCCTGCAGAATCCCGCATGTACCTCAGCATCTGCCTCCTTCTACACGGAGCACCCTGGAGGGCGAGTTGATATTTCTTGGCCATTTTATCCCCAGTCTCTGGTATATAATATACATGTTTTATTAAAAATAAGTGAAAATATAAATTAATTCACTTTAAATTTGTTACATATTTACATGTTTAAATTTCATAGGAATACTTCCAAATAATGATTTAAATCTCTGTATTATCTTAGGCAGCCAACCAAGGACTTGGTATTTGGGATTCTGTAAAAGCTTTGTGATTAATTCACCCTGTGATTTTTTTAGCTAAATTACTTTATCTCTATGCCATTCCCTCACCTGGAAACCAAGAGAATCGTATTAAACTATCTTAAAAGAAATCTTCAGATCTAAAGTCCTGTTCTTTTTGCCACAGATATCTGTGAAGACAGTGCTGTTTGGCACTGGTACGTCCCTACTGCCAATCTGAATGTGGAACTGCAACCAGCAGTATTCACACTCATGACTATGATCTCCAGTGTGTTAGATGGAAATTCAACGTGAAGGAGGTGACTTTCGCTTATGTCTTTGTTCCTGTCTGACAACCAGGGCACGTGGCATGGACAGTACATCTAAACTCTTTCACACGAAAGTGGGTCCGTGCCGTGGAAGCTGGATGGCATCCACCAACGATGCTACTTCACGATGCTTTGCTTGCTGGCGACCTCAGTGCTCACAGGAGCAATCTCATTGCTGAACAGATCTTCTCTTTGGCCCTTGATTCATAGTTCAACAGTTCTAACCTACATGAAATATAGTTGCTAAAAAGGGATGGATGAATCTACCTGTGACTTCTTTCACTCAACACAACGCCTATGAGCCTCCCAACGTTGCTGTGTGTAGAGTTAGTTTGTTCTTTAGACGTGCGGAGTAGAATTCCTTTGTAAAAATATGGCACACATGTTGGTCCAATGCCCTGTTGGAGCATATTTACGATGTTACTAGTTTCTAGCAATTAGGAACAGAGCTACCATAAACATTCATGTCAGGCAAACTTTATTTCTCCAGGGCGGATACCTAGGAGTGGAATTTGCTGGGCCTATAACTGATGTATGTTCACCCTCATATGATACAGTCGACCTACTTTCCAGAAAGGCTGTGCCACTTTGCATTTCCACTTGCAGTTTCAAAGGTTGCACAGGTCTACTTCTATTTGTACGACATTCTCAAAAAGACGAAACTATATGGATGGAGAATGGAAGTAAGTAGTCCAGGTTCGGGGTTTAGGATGGGAAATGGTGAGGCTGCAAAGGGACAGCACAGTACCTTGAGGTGAAGCAACAGTGTCATATGCTGATTTTGGCAGTAGTTACACAAATGTATATAGGTATGAAAGTTATCGATATGTGCATTCAAAATGTTCTACTTTACAGAATGTTAGTTAAGATGGGAGGGGGAGGCGGGAAGGGGGAGGATAGGATGGCATATTCACACTTAATGGGTGTGGTGTGCACCATCTGGGGGATGGACAGGCTTGAAGCTCTGACTCAGGTAGGGCAAAGGCAATGTATGTAATCTAAACATTTTTACTCCTGCAATATGCTGAAACAAAAAAAAATTAAAAAGTAAAAAAGAAAAAA